TCCTGATGCCAGAGAAAAATTGAATCATTTAAAGTCTATAAATTTGCAATAATACCAATAATTTTAAAAATTTAAAGTGAGTAATAAAATATTTAGGTAAGATCAGAGCAATTTCTTTTTTGATCTTTTAATCTATAAAGGTTAGAAATACTAGCCTAATGTGATCCCACTTGTGGATAAGATGTTGCTAGAAATTTATACAAGTGCAGTGGTAGAGTTATAATGACTGATCTATTAGTTTCCTTGTATGATTATAACCATGTATCACAAACTTAATGCTTATTAACAGCAGAATTTGTCTTGTCATAATTTTGGAGGCCAATTGTTCCAAATCCACAGGCAGGATCATATTTGCCATGTCACCTCTAGGCAAATCCTTCATTCTTACTCCCATGTTCCCAGTTTTTGAGAGGAATCTCTGGTGCTCCTTCCTGAACATTCATAAGGCCAGTCTGTGCGTCCATCTTCACAGGAATTTCTTTCCCTGTTTGTTGTCTTCTCAGAATTTCTTCCTTATAAGCATTTCAGCAGGATGAGTCTGGAGGTCACCTTATTCTACTGCACTCTCATCTTAACTGATGATGTGTGGGTGACACTGTTTAAATGGAGACTTATCCTGTGTAATGGGGGCTATCATTTTAATATACCTTCCTAGTGAGAAATTTTCTACACACATCATGATAGAAGAAATTCATTTCTAAAATTTGGGAATTTTTAATATTTTGAAGTGGTATGCTGGATATTTGCATGTAAATGTCTGAAACTAGAGCACTAGCTCCTACTCTGTGCAAAAACAAAATCAAAATTGATCAAGGACCTAAATGTCAAACTACAAACCTTGAAACTAACTACTACAGGAATGTATAGGGAAAGCCTTCCAAAATATAATCATAGGAAAGAATTCCTGTATTTACTACCAAAAGCCCAGAAAATAGAGCAGGAATTGACATGTGTGCTTATATCAGCTTAGAGGAATCTGCACAGCAAATAAACAATAAACAAGAAGGTTAATCCTGCAGAATGGGAAAATTTGTCAGCCAGATATTCAGTGTCAGATTATCACTATCTAGAATATATGATGAACTCAAAAATAAAAATAATGCAATCAATAAATGGGCACATGAACTGAACAGACAATTCAGAAATGAAGATTGCAAATGAACAAGAAAGACATGAAAAAACTATTCAACATACTCAGCCATAAGAGAAATTTAATCCAAGCAACAATGATATTACACCTCATGCCAATCAGCATGGAAATCATCAAGAAATCAATCATCAAGAAAATAAATATCAAAACAAGCCAGTGAGGAAGTGAAGGGGAGAATTCTCATTTACTGCTTGTGAGAACTTGAATGAGGGAGGACACAATGAAATTCACCAGAGTGATTCTCCAAAAATTCAAAACAGAACTCCTATATGACCCAGACATACGTCCTCTGGGTACATACAAAAAGTCAGTTTATGACAGCACCCCTCATAATAGCCAAATTATGGGTTCAGCCTTGATGCCCATTGGTGGATAAATGGATAAAGAAAATGTGGTCTGTGTATACAGTTCAGTTTTACTCAGCCATTACAAGGAAAGAAATAATATCATTTGTTCAGAAATAGATGGAATTGGTGATCATCCTGTTAGGTGAAATAAGCCAGTTCCACAAGGACAAATATCACATGTTTCTTCCATTTGTAAGTGTTAGGAGATATTGAAAGCAGAAAGTAAACAAGGTGTTAAAAATAAAGCATGGACTAGGATAAAGATAAAAGGGAAAAGGAGAATAGAGAACAGGTAGGGGAATTAGATCAATGGTGGGGTAAAATATAAATTTTTTATATGAAAAAGTCACAATTGAAGTCTCTGATATATAGAATTAATACCTACCAACAAAAAATAACAAAATTAGAAAGCAACTTTTAATATTTTATTATATTATATTTTTATTGTATCAAAATTATTTTACTAAATTTTATTTACTTTTTATTTTACTAAAATTCACCTAAAAATGAGTTTTAGTGACATACAAAGGGGATCCCTGCACTTTGCTGTTAGGTGGACAAAAGAACATTACTACATGTTGTTCTCTGGACAACGTGTGCTGACTTCAGTAGTTGGAAGATCTCTTCCAACTATTAATGTTGGGTGGGAAAATAAATAATCCAATTTTATTGGTTGTGGGAAACCTTCACTTAAGGACTCAAATGGACTAGATGGTAAGTCGGGAATGTGCTTTTATCTTTATGTGTATCGATAATCGATATTTAGGTTCCTGAGAGCACATTGTCTGGTCTGTTTATACTTAGGTTCAACCACACGCATGTTAGGTCTTCACCCTGAAACTGCATAAAACACTGTGCTGAACCGCTGCAAAGAAGTAAACAGTAGCAATCAGTCTTGTGCTCAGGTTTGGTCACTGAGCAGGTCATGGTAGATTTGTCCCCATGAAGGGAGCAGAGAAACCAGGGGCCATCCACAAGTGTATAAGTCTTGTGTTATAAAATGGTGTTCTAGGCACATGCCATTGATTTTTCTGAAATAAGACTGGGTAGTCTTATTTCAAAACAATTACTATTACAATTACTATTGTAATTACTATTAATCAGGTGACATAATCAAGGCCTGCATGCTACACAGAAAAACAAAATCACTGAGCAGACAATAGGTTCTGTATGAGTTCCTCTGCCTGGAGAACAATTTGAGCAAGTATGTTGGTTCCCAAATATGTCATCATAACCAATCTGTATCCCACAGATACAGAGAGTTGCTGTGTTTTCTGACCAGGAATGTGACCTTTCCAGTAATTCTATCATAATTAAGGCTTGTGGGGCACCACTTGAAATCTTCTTCTACAAGGACACACACCTTTTCCCACCATTGTTCCTGCTTCTAGTTTGGATGATTTTTGATTCTCTACACCACAGCCTAGGACACTGGTGAAGGCTGCAGCAGAACAGATTGGGTCTAGGTCCATGAATGTTAGAGGAAAAACAGGAAGAGAGGAGAGTCAATGGAAACCAGCATGTCTATTTTGTGGTATCCTTTCAGTCATTTTCTAGGCATCTGTGCAGAAAATAAGAAAGGCGAGATAGACAAAGAGGCTCACCTCTCTGTGGAAGACCCAGTACAGATCTGCATCCTGATGACCCTCACCTCTTTCTGGGTCCCAAGTTTATCTTATTTCCAATGCAGAAGGATTTAAGATAGGAGCACTTCATGCAAACCAGTGACTTCTCTGAATGTTTAAGACCCAGTGTGGGGCCCGATTATGAGCTCTACTTGGAAAGTCATTCCGGGAGAAGACAGACCTGGGTTGAGGGCAGAATTGTGGATCTCAAGATTTTGTGAGTACATACCAGCTTGGCCTCTTTGAGTAAGCTATCAACCATTCTGTTGGTTCCCAGCTAGGATCCCCATCATACATTGCTCAGTGCCTGCCTCAGCATCTCTGTTCAGTTTATCTCACCATGTCCTTCCATGATGTACCTAAATTTTTTGTCACCTCAGAGCCCTGTAAAATTTGAGTGACCTGTTTCACATAACAGGACTGTGCAAGCTCTGTGTGAGCACAGAATGAGAACCTGCCCTGATATCTGTGTTGGGAAAAAGACTGGGGGAATGGTGTGAAACATATTCCCAGAATCTCAGAGAGGCAGAGGCTGAAGACGGAAGTGCATGACAGAATACAATGTCCTTATTAATCATATGATTTCTCCAAAAAGTAAAGGGACAACTCCAAGCCCATGTCTGGCACACAGCCCCATTCCTACCATGAGGTGCCTTTTTGCACTCCCTAGATTCTGTGTGTCATCCCCAACGTGTCTCAGTAGAAAGTCTCCAGTTATGCTTTGCCCCAATTAGGCACCTGGTTCTCCTGTTCTCTGACCCCCTTCATAACATCGTTAGTTATGCAATTGAATTTTCTTTTTGCTTAATCCTGGGACATCAAAATTCTTAAAAATGTCCTTGCAGAGAGCACACAATGCAAAAGCTGAGCCAACTGAAAGGACTGACCTACCTAGTGCAATCAAAGTTGAACTTTCTTAACATGGAAGCCCCTGGACATCCTTGAAGTATCCCTTTTATGGTGCAAATCATTAATATCTGTAAATATCAAATTTTATTCTCATGATTCATCATGGGCAGATTCTGATAGTGTTTCCACAAAATTGTGATGGATGTTCTTTTCATAATCTTGAAAATGGCCTTCGCATCTGTTATGTAATATTCTCTTAAATCCTATCCCACAACACTTTTCACAAGTGTTGTCTTGAGGGATTGCTGAATAAGACATGGCAGAATTCAGGGCTTCACAAGCATAACAACATACAGGAAAGCATTGGAAGATATCTGTCCTGGAGGCTCTTGGGAGATGCTGTCAATTAGGTTAGATATTGAGTTAGACTACATTACATTTTTTGTTCTTCTTTTCCTTATATACTACAATGTATTTCAGTATCATCACAATCTCAATCAATTGGCATGGGTGGGGAGATGAGTCTTAGGAATTTGTGAAATTCAGCAGGTTGTGCACCCAAAAGTAACCTCATTAGTGTGCCTAATAAAGTGTTTTTGAAGATTCAATATTGGGCTGGCAAAATGTCTCAAGTGGCCAAAGTGTCTGCCTAGCAAGCGTGAGGCTGTGAGTTCAAGTGACAAAGTCTACAACAACAACAAAAATACTCGATATTTTCAGAGGCCCAATAAAACACATTGATTTCTTTCAGAATCAGTATTAAAATGTATGTAATTCAGGTGGGATTTTATTTATCTTTGAACTGTTAAAATGAGAAAAAGTGATTTAGTATTCATCTATTATAGAATAAGAGCCTTCAAAGGCACGTGTGCTCAGGTTCATGAAGTCTTGATGTGCCTTCTGGAGTATTAAGTACAATTCACCACATCATGGAATTGTGCCAAAAAGAGTATGCATAGTGAAATAAACCAGAATTTAAGGTAGTATACTGTATGATCCCATTTGTAAGTCTTAGGCAATGGAAACCAATCAACTGAGAATGAGCAGCAACTGCTGGATGTTCACCTTACTGGAGAAGAGGAAGGTTTCTTGTCTCACTTCCTTATAGAACTGAAGCACTGTGCGAGCATTGAGGTTATCATCATAGGACTGACAGTAATAATCAGCCTCATCTTCAGGCTGGAGCCCCGTGATGGTCAATGTGGCTGAGTTGCCAGACTTGGAGCCAGAGAAGCGATCAGGGATCCCTGATGGTCGATTGTTATTATTATAGATGAGAAGCTTGGGGGAGCTTCCTTGGAGTTGTTGGTACCAGTTCACATAATTGCTACCAATGTTACTGCTGCTTCCAGCACAGGAGATGGTGACTTTCTGTCCAAGGTTCCCAGACACTGAGGATGGTTGAGTCAACCCAGATTGTGCCCAGGATCCTGAAAGAGGGAAAATCAGATAGTAATTTGGGGTCAATATGGGAGGAAATAGCAGTGACCCACTTTTTTTCAGGTTTTACCCATATCCCATGTCCAGTAACCTGTGCAGTATGTGAGAAGCATGATTAAACAGGACAAGGTCATGATGGAGTTCTTCTAGGAGTCCTTCTGTGCCTCAGAGTTGGACAGAGCTCCCTCAAGTCTTCCCCCTGCCCTTGTTCATTCTCTGAAAATGGGGCGTACCCACTTATGCAAATGTGGATTCTCTATTATTTTGCTCACATTCTGAGGCTCTGATCTGAAGATATCACTGTGCTATGTAGGGGTGTAGGTGGATGGACTTTGTTGTTGAGGGAGTCAGTGTGTGAGCCCTGGGAGGATGACTTAAGGCAGGGCCACATAGCTCATTCCAGATCTCATCACCCCAGCAAATTCAATAACATTCTTCATGTGCTCTTTTGGGTCTGGGTCATGTACTTTGCATTTCACAATGGTGATAAAGACCCTCAGAGGCAGTCCTGCCTTCCCAATTATGTCTTTATACATACTAACTCAAACTTGCCTATGGTGTCCCTCTGTAGACTCACTCTGAGCTCAAACATCTTTATCTTTTTGCTATACACAGACTGCTCAGGGGAAAAATCTTTTCACAGCCAACTTAAATTCTCATTGGTCCTGACTGACATGATGTCCCCTGGGCAAATTCCTTTCAGATCAGGATGGAGGAGACAAACATGGAGGTTTTGGTGTTAATAATAGGAAGTTGACATGGGCCAGTGAAAGCTTGATTGAAATGTCTTGCACATTTATAGTAAATACTGTATTTTGAAATGGTTTTTGACAAAGATTTACTGTTATTTTGATCTCCTCATAATATTTCAGAAGGAAAATATAATATTTGATACTAATATGTATATTTACACTGTGCTTTTGTTTATTTTTTATAATCTTCTCTGCTGAGATGAGCCAAATATGAACCTGCCTTATCTCCTGTGTCTGAAGAGTGAATTATCATTCAGTACACATATTTCATTTATTGATTTCTGGAGTTATTCCCAAGACATAGTACATATTTGGTTTTCTTTGTTCTTTTGTTTCTTTGTTCTATAGTGTACTCAAATGAACATTGTTTTTTTAATATTGGTTTATTAGTTTTAAAGTGTATGGACTATAGAAGTGAGTATATAACATATTACTCAATAATGACAGAACAACCTGTTGGAAATCTGTGGAGAACACAAACCAGTGGACTCAGTTATGTCTATTCAGGACTCACAACAAGTAGACTTATGCCCTGAGGGGCTGAGTCACAACTGACTGAAAGTCAGGCTCACGCTGACCCTACCTATCATTAGAAATCAGGAAACAACAGTGACAACACATCTCTGACCAAGACCCATGAGGTTGATAATCACAGCAGTGACCAGGAATTGTTCTGAGCTGCAGCTTAGTGTCATTCAAAAGAGTGTTTCCACATGAAGTGTGTGGCAAAATTAGAGGTTCTTGTGCATAGTCCCTGTGTTTAATCATCACCTGAGGAGAAAGGTAAAGAAGAGGAAACAAGAAGTGTTGGGAAGCTGAGCCTGAGTTTTAGTTTCTTATGACACCTATTTCCTCTGTGCTTCTGGGAAGTCAGATTATATACTTATTTTTCTGTTTGTTCATCTTCTGAGGATATTGAATTTCAGATGAATGTGTTTTGGATGAGAGGGCGTGGCTTGTTTTAAGAATGATGTTGGTATTGATACCTCTTAGATAAAGGACATGTCAAATAAATATAAAATGGACATAACTTTTGTTCTCAATGGAGAAGATTAAAATTCCTGTGGCTTTGTTGAGGCTTGTTAATGTTTTCCTCACAGTGATGATGATGATTGTGATTAAAGCAGTTCAGATATTGCAGATGTGAAATCAGCTCAAGTTCTCAAACCAATATACTTTTCTATGAGCTCATTCCCTGGGGTGGGAGAATACTTTCAACTGGCCAACTTCTCAAGCCAGGCTTGAACTCTTTCTTTTATCCCACAAAAATGTTGAATCCAAATTCTTCCAATGACCTGGCTCCCTACTTTCCCCGTTCATCTTTTATCATCTATTCTACAGCATCTGGAGTTTTCTTTAGGAACCCAATTCAGATACTCACTCTTTCATGTCAGGCCTTTGGAGGCTCCTATATCCACCCAATCACATCTTTTTACTCTGTGATAACTTGTTTTTGTTATTGGCATATTCACTTGATTTTCTTCTCTCTTATAAAAAGCAGTGTCTGCTAAAAGAGAATATCATTGTTCCTGTCTTGTCCACACTATGTTCTGAGACTTGACTCCAGGCTCTGGCACAGAGTGAGTGTTCAGTAAATGATGTGGTTGGATGGAGTATTTTGAGTCAATCAATCTCATCCAGATCATGAGTGCTTTGGCCCTGGCTTTGTTCTGATACGGCATGTGCTCTGTCCCTGGACAGGCTGATGCTGGCATGTGTTGCTGCCTGTGGTTAAATTTGGACACATATTTTGAGAGCATGAGAATTTATTCTCAAGCTCATGCTCCCTAACATGGGTCTGAAACCCTACTTTTAGAAAAACAAACAAAACACAAACAAAGAATCAATGTAAGCCATCTGACAGCCAAGGCCTGGGTTCTGTATTGAGCAGCAACATCACTGTGCAGATGGCAGTTCCTCTATCACTTCCCCACTGCTTCAGCATTATGTGAATGCTGATGTTTGCACTCCAAAGGTAGGCAGTAACAGTCACCTTCACGCTCTGTCTAGAGCCTGAAGATGCTCAGGAATGTCACGTTCCTTGACCAGTGTTTTGACAATTGTGTTGACATTCCTGAGGATTGAATCTGCAAATATTCGTGAGGAGAGTGGAGACTCTGCCTGGGGCTGCTGGCACCAGAACAAATACCTGCATGCAACATTGCTGTTGTTCCCAGAGAAGGCTTTGTGAATGTCTGCCCTGTACTCATGGATATTGCAAAGAGATGAATCAGCAAAGACTGGGTTACAGATGGTGAGCAGTGAGCAAGAAGTGAAGTTCAATGGTCAGGAACACACATATGTTCTTCTAAGCATTCACTGCCTGTGCAGTGATAAGAAGTGATAGAAAGTGTTGAGTCCAGGCCATAGTAAAGAATGCTCTATGTTCTGCATTTTGGGGAACCTCAGCTGGTCCTGAGCTCTGCAAGTTTCTCCTACTCACTCCAGCAACAAGACGTGAGGGAGGAAATTTCATGCAAACCAAGCATCTCCCTATGATGTACGAACACTCCCTGTGCTATGAATATTGGACTCTCTTGAAAATCTAATATTGGAAATATTGAACCTCATGGGTGTGAGTTTTGCTGGGTGTCCCTGGGGGCAAGTGAGGACACAGTTTCTAAGAGTCAACAATCATGAGATCAATAGTACCAGAACAGGGTAGAGAGGATGCTACAAGGAAGGATGTACAGCAGAGGACCACAGTGAAAGGCAACAGTACCCCCAGCTTTCCAAGGCTCAGAAACATTATATTGTCAACTATCCACTTTATACTTTGTGAATGGATGAAGGTGGAAGTTCTCATAATTGATTTCCTTAGTCTAATGTCTCCACACAGATGTAATTGTCTGAAGTTCCTATCCCTCTCACAGTGTGGTTTAAAAATCAATCCTGGGATCTCAATCTCCCTGATAGACACTCCTGGGGAGGAAGCAATGCAGATCTACAGAGCAGAAACAAAACAGTCACCTTCATCCAGAGCACTGGGAACTCCTCCATCCTTCATTAACCAAACAGACCAAAACTGTTGCCTTCACTGTTAGGACCTTTACTTGGGTTCCAGACTCTCACTTTGCATCTCAATATTTTTCTCAGTCCATTACTGACTTAGATTTTAAAGGAGAGAAAAGAAAGTTGTAAATAATATATTTTCTAATTTCTGGCATAAATTCTGGAACTTGATGCTTAATTACAACAGAATGGGTCTTGTCATAGTTTTGGAGGCCAATTTTTCCAAATCCACAGGCAGGATCATATTTCCCATGTCTCTTCTATGCAAATTCTTATTCTTACTTCCAGGTTCCCAGTTTTTGAGAGGAGTCTCTGGTGCTCCTTCCTGCACTTGCATCGGTCCACACTGTGTATTCATCTCCATATGAATTTCTTTCTCTGTCTTCATCTCTTCTCAGAGTTTCTTCCTTATGAGCATATCAGGCTTGATGGGTCTGGAGGCCACCTTATTCCACTGCAGTCTGATCATAACTGATGATGTGAGGATGACAGTGTTTAAATGGGGTCTCATCCTGTGTAATGGGGGCTACCATTTTAATATACCTTCCTAGGGAGAAATGCTTCTACACAAAATCTTATAGAAGAAATTCATTTCTAAAATGTTAATAATTTTTAATATTTTCAAGTGGTATAATGGATATTTGCATGTAGATGTCTGAAACTAGAGCACTAGCTCCTACTGTGTGAAAAATAAAATAAAAATTGATCAAGGACCTAAATGCCAAACTATAAAATTTGAAACTTCTACAGAAATGTATAGGGAAATCCCTCCAAACTGTAAACATAGGAAAGAATTCCTGTATATGCTACCAAAAGCCCAGGAAATAGACCAAGAATTGACATGTGTGATTATCTCAACTTAGAAGACTTCTGCACAGCAAACAAATAATAAACAATAAACAATGTGAAGATTAATCCTGCAGAAAGGGAGAAAATGTTAGCCAGATATTATGTATCAGGTTATTAATATCCAGAACATATAACAAACTCAAAAAAAAATTCAATGAATAAATGGGCATATGAACTGAACAGAAAATTCTGAAATGAAGATTGCAAATAGAGAAGAAACTCATGAAAAAAATATTCAACACACTTAGCTATCAGAGAAATTTAAGCTAAAGAACATTGATATTTCCATTCATGCCAATCAGTATGGCTATCATCAAGAAAACAAGTATCAAAACATGCTGGTGAGGATGTGGAAGGGGGAATTCTCATTTACTCCTTGTGAGAACTTGAATTAGGGAGGATATAATGAAAGTCACCATGGAGGTTAAAAATATTTTATTTTATTAACAATAAAACTCCTTTGTGACCCAAACATAACACTTCTGGGTACATACATAAAGTCAGTTTATCACAGCACTTTTCATAATAGTCAAATTATGGAATCAGCCTAGAATCCTA